CTTTCACTGTCCAGTCACAGACCCACCCACCCTGTAAGTGTTACTGAACTGCAGCAAAGAAAACTCAGGTCTCCTGCCCTGCCAGACAGTTCTGTGTGACAGAGCTGTGCAAATGTCAGGACTGGATGGACAGAACCAACCAATGGGAAGAAGCCGGGGTACACCTATATCTCACAAGCCACAGGTATTGATGTCGGGGGGCAGCTGGAGAACCCGCAACTCTTCCACTGAGAGAAATGTGATTTGTAGTTAATCGCGATCAGACTGTCTGATGAGCACCACGTGTCACTTCCTGTCATGTGATGACTGTTTAATAAACTCTGTTCCAGCTTTGTGATTGGTGCGTTTTATGTTCATAGTAAAAAAAACAAAAAACGTCAGGTGACCACCGACCGTGTCCGGGGAACATCGAGGCCCAACCCTGACCGAGCACCATAGAAACTGCAACATGGTGACGTCCTTCCGAGAGTCATTTCCTGATTATTAATGAGAATAATCCCGGGTGATCCTACCATGAGAGTCCTAGATCGGGCACTTCCTGTCAGTGGGTGACAACTGTCTACCAATAATGCTCCAGCATCGTCACCCTGGTGAAGGGAAGGTCACATGGAAGGGAGGTCACATGGCCGGAGGGGAGCGGGCAGACATAGAAGGGAGGTCACATGGCCAGAGGGGAGCGGGCAGAGATAGAAGGGAGGTCACATGGCCGGAGGGGAGCGGGCAGAGATAGAAGGGAGGTCACATGGCCGGAGGGGAGCGGGCAGACATAGAAGGGAGGTCACATGGCCAGAGGGGAGCGGGCAGAGATAGAAGGGAGGTCACATGGCCGGAGGGGAGCGGGCAGAGATAGAAGGGAGGTCACATGGCCGGAGGGGAGCGGGCAGACATAGAAGGGAGGTCACATGGCCGGAGGGGAGCGGGCAGACATAGAAGGGAGGTCACATGGCCGGAGGGGAGCGGGCAGACATAGAAGGGAGGTCACATGGCCGGGGGGCCATGTGAAGAGAGCTGATAGGACAGTTCTATCCAGTATCAGGCAGGAGATAGCAGAGACTTACAGGCCGGCACTCAGCTGTGACAGGGAGAGAATACAAGTGAAGAACACACATCCCCTGAGCTGTACAAGAGTATATATTCAGATGACAAATCCCCGCTGGTGACTGGTTCTCTTTAAGGGCTGTCCCAGCGCACCGATTATAACGGCACTCCGCATTCACCCGTCTGGGGGGGAGAGGGGGGATACGGAGGAATTTGGGGATTATTGGGATTTGGTACATTGTGTGGAGTTTTCCCCTCTTCAGGATGAATGATCCCAGAGACGGATGGAGGACAATAGAGTGGAGGAGCAGGCGGCGGCGGCGAGTGCCCGAGGGGGCCGCCCGGGGTCCGTGTTTATCCATCAGGAAGAGAAGCGTCTGCTGTGCCGATGCAGCAACTTCACCGAGGACAATCATCCGGCCCGCTCAGCGGAAAATCTCATTAACCCCTCGTGAGCCGCTGCGCAGAATCTTGGATCAGCCGTGTCATGTCTGCGAGATAAACAGGGGAGCGGTCAGCGCGGGGAACCATAGGGAGCGATCAGGGAGAGAAATCAATCCAAAAGTAGCCAAACCAGAAACTTCCATCTGACGCTGGAAGCAGAATAACCGATCATGATATCCCTCCACTGACAACACAAGGGATCAGTGTAATGAGGGATCATTAGAATGTCATTATGAAGGTGGATACAGAAGAATAGGGATCAGCATAATAGGGGGTACCGAAGAATAGGGATCAGTATAATAGGGGGTACCGAAGAATAGGGATCAGTATAATAGGGGGTACCGAAGAATAGGGATCAGTATAATAGGGGGTACCGAAGAATAGGGATCAGTATAATAGGGGGTGCCGAAGAATAGGGATCAGTATATTGGTGGATATGTAAGAATAAGGATCAGTATAATGGGAAGATGTAAGAGTAGGGATCAATATGAAGGTGGTATGATGATAGATATGTAAAAGTAGGGATGAGCATAATGATGGATATGTAAGAGTAGGGATGAGCATAATGATAGATATGTAAAAGTAGGGATCAGTATAATGGGGGATATCTAAGAATAGTGATCAGTATATGGCTGAATATGTAAGAATAAGGATCAATATAATGGGGATATGTAAGAGTAAGGATTGGTATAAAAGGGGAATCAGTGTAATGGGGGATATGAAAGAGTAGAGATCATCATAGTAAGAGGTATGTTAGGAGTAGGGATTATTATAATGTGCTTATAGAGATAGTGAGTATAATTGTAGAAGAATATAGAAGCACTATATAGTAGAAAGGCAGGGTATAAGAGTAGGGATCAGAGTGACTGATTCACACAGAGCGAGGATCAGGAAGAAAGAATCCATCATTACCGATCCCTACAGAGGAAGTCCAACCGGAAAATCTTCCCACAAAATGACTTCTGAAAACTCCTCTCAGATTTCTGTCTGGAGGTCGAAATGGAGCCGAATGTGGAATGTCATTGTGCTGTGCCCACTATGAGGGGCTCCCACCATCCCTGTGCTGAGTTCCCGGGTCTGTACACCCGCTGTGCCCATTATGAGGGGCTCCCACCATCCCTGTGCTGAGTTCCCGGGTCTGTACACCCGCTGTGCCCATTATGAGGAGCTCCCACCATCCCTGTGCTGAGTGTTATATGTAGACTGTACGCGGAGGAGGAGCAGGAACACACAATGTCTCAGGTGGACAGGAAGAGGAAGTTCAGACTTACATGAAGAAGATTCTCTCCTCTGAGACATCCAATGAGCTTCTTCTGTAGCTGAAATCTGACTTCCACCTCCCACCTCATCAGACGTCTCTCTGCAATCAGTAATCTACATAATAATATCCAATCACAGTGTAAATGGGTTATTTACCTTCACACATATATAAGTGATGTCGGTTCTGTATAATGAGGACGAGGGTCGCACATAACGAGATATTGGGGGAGGGGG